ACCACCAGTAAGGTGATAAAGCGTCCTCCCTTCCCCCCTTTACATCTATACCCCTGTTCAGCATGAAGAAGCCAGAGAGTCGGCATCCAATTCCCAAATCAATAAGACAGTTGGTTTAACTACCATTGGAAAATGCTTGTCACTCCTCTGTAGCATCTGGTGCCCACTGGACCCTCATCATTTCCTTCACCTGCTCCCCCCACCAACCAAACTGTGCAGCTCTGCAGCTGCATCCTGGCCCATCCTCACCCTTCTGCCCCCAACCCTCACCTCCTTGTAGCCCCCAATATGTTTTTTCCAATTAAAAAAAAAAGAAATATGCAGAAGTCATTGTACCAAAAAGACTTAGTCAATGCTGAATCATTTCAGGAAGTAATATGCGGCAAAGAAGCAATGATAAGAACAAGCTGTACTGAAAGCAAATGGAAAAAATGTCCAAGAATTGATTAAATACTTAGTGATATGTTTCTGTAAACATGTGTTTACTGAAACACATCGTTGGATATGCTCTCTAGTCTATGCCAAGACATTTAAAAGACAGCTGGTTGGCCAACCATATTTGTGCCCATTCCAAAAAAAAGATGATAAAACCGAATGTGGAAATTATTGGACAACATAATTAATGTCAAATGCAAGTGCAATCTTGTTGAAGATTATTAAAAGTTACTAAAATAATATGTTCATAAGGGACTGTCAGCAATTCAAGTTCTATTCAGAAGAGGTTGTGGTATGAGGGGTATCACTGCTGATGTCAGCTGAATCCTGGCTGAAAGAAGAGAAAACCAAAAAGATGTTTACTTGTGTCTTTTGATTTTACAAAGGAATTCAACTGTGTGAATTATAATAAATTATGGATAACATTAGGAAGAATAAGAATTCCTTAACACTTCATTGTGTTTTTACTGGTACATGAGCAAGAAACAGTGGTTTGAACAAAACAATGGGAGACGACTAGGTGTTTTCAAATCAGTAGAGGGTTTGTTAAGATTATTTTTCACCATGCTTGTTTAATTTGTATACTGAGCAAATAGTTGAGAAGTTGGACTATATGAAGAAGAATATGCCATCAGAATTGGAGGAAGACTCGGAAATCACCTGTTATATGTAGAAGACATAGCTTTGCTTGTTTGTAGTGAAGAGAACTTGAAGTATTATTAATTGAGGAAGAACAAAGGCTATAAACTTAAGTATGAATTATATCTCAACATCAAGAAAACAAAATCATCACAATTGAACCAATGGACAACATCATGATAGATGGATAAAAGACTGACGTTGTCAATAATTTCATTTTACTCATTTCCACAATCAGCACCTGTGGAAACAGGACTTACGAGACTAAGACATAGGCTAAGACAGTACTAAAGCATACCTGACCTAAGACATGTTTTTTTAATAGTCTCATACATATGTGAAAGTTGGACAATGAATAAGAAAGACCTAAGAATAACTGAGGTCTTTGGAGAAGGGCATCATGCACAGAAAGGTGGAGGGACAGTGCAGGAGAAGAAGATCCTGGATGAGACGAATTGATACTGCAGCAATGGGGTCTGGTGTGTTGGAATTAGTGAGACTGACTCAAGACAGGGAAGAGTTTAGAGCTGCTGTATATAGGGTTGCTATCAAGCCTGGAAGCAGGAGCGGCATCCACTTCCGAAATGGCTTGCCTCTGTAAACTCTATGCACGAACAGTGCTCAGGCCGTTTGTTCATAGGGTTGCTATGAATCGTCTACTATTCAACGGCATCAAACAACAATAACATGGGTCACAGGTGACTTGATGGCACATAACAACAACAACAACATACTTGTTGTTTTTATTTAAGCCTCTTATTTAGAGTCAACATGAATTCATAGAGGGCCTTTGTATTTAAAACTTGGTTGTTATATTATGGAGGAACTCTTCTGTTAATTTGCTGTACTGAGATAACTGGGGGTTGCTGTGATGCTGAACCTTGTGCCATTGGGGTGTCAAATTGTATAACAGTTACCCATAGTGGACAGTGCTTGGTAGACCTCCCAGATTAAGACAGGTTTGGAAGCAGGAGAGGAACCTGCTTCCTAAACAACCTGCCTCTGGAAACTCTATGAACTTTGAGAAACGACAATAATTATAGAAAGGCTTCAGGTATTTTGTTCATAGGGTCACTATGAGTCATCCTCAACTCAACAACAACAACAAGAAAAATTGATGCCTTTGAATTGTGATATTGGTTAGCAGTACTGAATATATCATGACTTGATAAAAGAACAAACAGATCTGTTTCAGAACAAATGCAGACAAAGTGCTTTTTAGAGCCAAGGACAGTGAGGTT